GGAGGGGAAGAGGAATTCCAAACCCCCTCGGCCTCCTGCGGCTCCGCTGCGGGGGAGCTCCCCTGCCCGCCCCACAGGCCCACCCGGGTCCTGCTGGGGCCAGCGCGTCTGGAGAGCCCACACTCAGGGGAGGGAAAGCCCGCCCCCGACCCCCCAGGCCTTTGACCCAGACCACCCGCCCTGCGGGCCCCAGCCTGGTCTCCAAGGGGAGAGGCAGGAGGGTGCATGTAGGGTGGAGGCTGACTCTGGGGTCTGGGGCCTAGCTCTGTCCTTGCTGAAGTTTGGGGCAGAGAGAGAAGGGTACTCACAGGCTGGGGCCCACTCGTGGCAAGGGGCTCACTCAGAACTCATCTTACCTTCGCAAGGACCAACCAAGCTGCCCTTCTGTGCGGGCTCCCAGCCTTCTTCCTGCCCTAACCCAGGTCCTCTTGGGGATGCTGGGAGGCAGCCTCCAAAAAGAGGGTTTGCAGGGTGGAGACCCCCTTTCTCTAGGCCCCTGTAAGGAAGCTGACTGACTGCGGCCCCCAGGACCTCCTTTTTCTAAAACCCTCACCCGAGAATATGTTTAATGATTTGAGAGAGAAGTACATCCATTGGTTGCTTCCCATAGGCAATTGAACCCACAACCGACTGAGCCACTTGGCAGGGACCCCTAGGACCTCCTTATTCTGGTGGGGCCTCAGGGGACCCCTTCACCTCCACAAATGGGCCCCCAGAGAGACTCAGGCTGGCTCAGCCCTGCTCTCTGTGCTAAGGTACCTGGTCTCCCATCTGCTCCTCCAACCCCCTCCCAAGACAAGGCCCCCACAGTTCTTTGAGCTTCACAGTCGTCTCCCATTCCAGACCTTTGCAGGGGCCATTTTTCCTCCCTGGAGTACTTTCCCTCCTCCTCTCTGACCATCTAAAAGGCTCCCTAGCTAAAGTGTCACCTCTCCTAGGCTTGTTGTCCTTATTGTCAGGGTCACTGCCCCAGAGCCACCTGCAAGGAGGTTGTGGGCAGGGGGTGTGCTGCACCACACAATTTGGATGTCACTACCTGGCCAGTAAGCCAGCAAGGTATCTAGTCAACAGTGTGAGTGTCTGTTGGTGTGTCTGTGTTTGTATGTGTGTGTGTGTGTGTGTGTGTGTGTCTGTGACTGTGTGTCTGTGCATATGTGTTTGAGTGTGAGTGTATCTCTTAGGATGTCTGTGTGACCTTGTCTGTGTTATTACTCATACGTGTAACCGTATCTTGTGTGTGTGTTTGTGTTTGTCTGCCTGTGAGTGTGATAGGTGTGTGGTGGGGGCTGGCAGGCCCTCCTCTCGTCTCAGAGGCCAAGCAGAGCCTGGGAGGACTGAAGAGTGGCTGTAGGTAAGTGTATGGGGAAGGGACGAAGGGTCTGGCCTCTCAAATGCAACCTGCCTCTTGTTTGTTTTTTGGATTCACAGTCAATCAATTTATGGGCAACTGTATACAATGTTAACAAATAATCTTTTTTTATGATTTTCGTAACTGAATTAGAATAGCATTTTAAAAAATTTATCTTTATTGTTGAAAGTATTACAGATGTCTCCTTTTTTCCTCAGTTGTTTTTCTTTTTTCCTTCCCCTCCCAGTTCTCTTCCATCCCCCCTTTAGCTCCCCAGATGGGCTCATCTCTGAGGGGCTCTGAGCAGGAGTGAAGACTTGTGGGTGGGTGGGGATCCCTGGGCAGCCTTTCCCCTCCCATTTCAGGCCCCCTCAGCTCAATCTGACTCAGGAGTCACAGGCCCCCACCCTTGGGCAGCTTCCCGTCTGACACAGAGGACAGCATTAGTCCTGGTGAATCCTGTTCCAAGTTAGAGGAGGTTCGATTCAATTGCCATCAGAAGGTTTGCGCCCAGGTGGGTGTGGACAAGTGTCCTGCAGAGCCCCTGCCCTTTGCTGTCCTCTCTGTTGCTCTTGCACCTCCCTCTTCTTCCCTTGAGCACCATTGTGGGCCCACCCACTGACCTCACCGGCTTCCTGCCCCCCCCCCCCATGGGGG